GTATTTTTTTTCAGGCGTTGGGGGGTAGGTGAGGAGTATGAGTAGATGCCTCAGTGTCCTGGATGCAAAAGGCACCACAAAGAACTGGGTGGAGGAAGACTGCTTTCCCTGTCTGTCTTGGTCAGTGTCTCCTTGTCCTGGGAAGGGCCTCCCTGCTTTGACTCTTGCCCGCTCCCTGTCAAGTCCACAATGTCCAGGTCACGTAGGAGGAGCCTGAATGGGGATTAAACCACGAGCAGTTTTATTTTATTTTATTTTTTAAAGATTTTATTTATTTGACAGAGAGAGACACAGCGAGAGAGGGAACACATGCAGGGGGGTGTGGGAGAGGGAGAAGCAGGCTTCCCGCGGAGCAGGGAGCCCGACACGGGGCTCCATCCCAGGACCCCGGGACCATGACCTGAGCCCAAGGCAGACGCTTAATGACGGAGCCACCCAGGTGCCCCCCACGAGCAGTTTTAATGGTCTGGTTTTCTCCCCCACACAATTTCCCCACTGTTAGTATTACTATTACTACAAGAATAAAGGATCCCTGAAAGCCTATCCCCTCCTCTCCCTTGGGCCCCCCTTGACAGGACTTACCCCCTACCAACCCCCCTGGATATCTGGGTAAAAAAAAAAATAAAAGTGAAAGGCACAGCAGGGGCGGGGGTAGGGGTCTCAAGTGCCAGGGAGTCTGAGGGGTAGTGCAGGGGCAGGGCCAGGCCCTTGGGGATTGAGAAGCGTCCTGAGGGCTGGGGCTAGAATGTATTATGCTAAATAAGTCAGTCAGAGAAAGACAGATACCACATGATTTCACTTATGTGTGGAATTTAGGAAATGAAACAGATGAACATGGGAGAAGAAAAAAAGAGAAGCAAAGCATGAAACAGACTCTTAAATATAGAGAACAAATTGAGGGTTGCTAGAGGGGAAGTGGGCAGAGGAATGGGCTAAATGGATGGTGAGGATTAAGGAGGGCACTTGTGAAGAGCACTGGGTATGTAAGTGATGAATCACAGAATTCTACTACAGAAACTAACATTATATGTTAGGTAACTGGAATTTAAGTAAAAACTTAAAAAAGAAAAAAAATCTTAAAATAAATATGATGCTGTTGAATTGGAAATGTTTATATTTGTGTGCCTACATCTAATGAAAGTGTAAAAGAAACAGCAGAAAACAAACGAGGGTTAAAGTGCTGGCAAATGTTCTTGGTATAATTACTAAAGTATTGTCATGGGTTTAGTCACCTTGCTGCAGGGCTTTTTAATACCACCCCAAGCTTCTACACTCAGTCTCCCAAGCTACTACAGATACTTAGGTGGAAAATAAGAAACCCTAAAAATTGGGAATGTGAGTAATGTACGTTTTTCTATATTTTAAAAAATTTTGAATATTTAACTGACATTTTCAAAAAGGGAATTGCTATCTTATATCTAGCCATTTTTGAATTTAACTTTCTGTTAAATTCTGTATTGCTAATATGGCACAAATTACTTATATGTCAAAATTCCCCACTTATGTTAATGCAGTAACACTAATTTTCAGAGACAATAGGAAATGCAAAGGATCACTACAGAACAGTAAACCCAGCAGTCATTATTAAGCACTGCCTAAATACCAAGCACTGTTTTGTGCCCTTGTCCCAAACTCTCTACACTCTTATGAGAGGATACTACTCTGCTTTGTAGAAGAGAGAACGGAAGCTCAGGGAGTTTCAGGTAATTTTCACAAGCTACTTAAGTAATAGAATTGACAGCCAAATTTATATACTTTTCAGTTTTATAAAGATGCTGCCTCACAAGTATCACAGTTTGCTACGGAGGGAAGTTAGTTAATTTCATATAGTAGAATAAAATCTCCCCACCATACTTTTCTGTCAGAATCATCCACTGGCTTTGAGTAACAATGCTTATGGGTATTTGTATGTGAACAAATGTTTGAAATACCCAATGACATTGTACCATAAGCACCTTAATAATCGATGGCTTGTTTCCCCAAAGTGAAAATTTTGTAAGACTTTATTTCCCCCACTTTTCCCCACCATTTAAATTTCTCTAGTGTTTTTTTCTATGATTTCTGATAACTTTTCAGGAAACAACTCAGGGTAAGGATCAGCAATGTGGTATGTTAAAATGACAAATAATGGGGACAGAATTTTGATTTTTAATTTCATCTTCCTTTCCCAATGTAAAAAAGTCACTAAAATGAAATGAGCTAAGACGGTGATAGTAATAAAATTTTTTTTCAATATTTATTCACTTACTGTTACAAGTAATTGAACAAAGTTTAGGATCTGAATTTACTTCGACTATTAATATATGCATGGATATATAGTGACCAAAGGACAAACCTACAGACCTTGTTATGCTGTGTTATGTTGACTGTGTACCCTTACTTCAGATAATTCTCTCCACCATCAATTCTCAGTGGAATAATATTTAAAAATTAAAATGGGGTTATAAAGGAAGTACTACTACTTAGCAGTAAATATATATTTATGGTTTTTTTCTTAAATTTAAATTAATATCCTGGGCTGGAAAGATCCATAAAGAATTTACAAGAGTGATTGCTTTTGGAGAGAAACAAAAGGGTACTTCTTTGAACAAATATAGGGTACTTATTTATTTATTTTATTTTTTGTAACTTAATGGGTAGGTACATTGATAGTTGTCATTTATTCTAGGTGCTTTGCTAGATCTTTAAACTATTCAAGATAAAGTCCAGTGACTATATCAGGATATACATTTTTGAATCTTTTCTGAATAAGTATTGATCTGTAATTTTTTTCATGAAATAGAAGCTAGAAAATTGTTTGAAAAGACAGTTGCTACTGTCTAAGGCTTACAAATTACTTTTTAAACTAGTTTTGTTATCCCATATATAAATGTTTCCGGGAACAATTCCTGATAAGATGTTGACTGTGAAGACTGGTATTTGGCCTGTATCAGATTTTCAGTGTGACAGTTAATTGGATAGGTTGTTTAGAATGGGGTTCCTAACTAAAGTAACAGAGACATGATGGCAAAGTAAAAAGAACAACCAAATCAAACCAGAAATTAGAATAATACGGTACTTTTTTCTACAGCTTCCTAGAGCTGTGGCCAAGGAAGGTCAAGGGTTAATCATTTCTCTGAGCGCCATATTCCTTATCTTTAAATTAGACATAGGAATATTTTCTTATTAGGATGATATTGAGAATCAGAAATAATATACAGATAGCACCTAACCCAGTGCCTGAGATATGATCCGCATTCATCTTCTGCATCAGTTATTTTTAAAACGTCTGGAAAAGATGGTATGTAAGTGTAATAACTGCTTCCTTGGTGATATATTCAAGGCAAGATTTTGGAAAGATTCAAGGAAGAAATTATCTTCAGTACTGCTTTTCAGTTATGCATTTATCCTAATTTCAGGTATTCTTTGTGTGATCACTAGTCAGGGGGAAAGATGGCATATCCCTTTATCCAGACTATTCCAGGCTTAAACACAATGGAAATTATTTATAGGCTGACACTGGGAGAATAGAAATGTACGCAGAAAGACTGTCATCGTTTGGTTAAATTATACTTAATTTTACAGAGGTGCATTTTTACAACATGTCTATTATTTTACGCTTTAATAGGCTCTACTAGAAGTCTGATAGTAAAAGTGGAAGAGAGTGAATTTTACAACTTACAGAAAATTATATCTTTTGGCTAAAATAAGACTGAAATTTGATAATATGTTTTAAGTGTATTCATTTACTTCCAGTGTTCACGTCTAGATCAGAGGTTGACTGATTTAATAGTAACCCACTCTAAATATATAATTTGTGAAGAGAATATAGTTGAGTAAAAAAAGAGTAGCATGAGGTAAATGATACCCAAATAACATGTAAATAGCAAAATTTTAGATCTGATATCCAGCATCCAGTCTCAGAGATTCCCATAGCAGGAATACAGCTGGAAACATCACGTTGTCACAGATTACTGATTTTAGCATATGGATTCCTAAGACTCGAGCCCAAGTTCCTTCTAGCCTTAAAGGTCCAGAAGAATAGAACCACCGCGATGACCTTCCATTATCCGGTATAAAAATATTTTCAACTTTCTTTTTTTTTTTTAAAGATTTTATTTATTTATTCATGAGAGACAGAGAGAGAGAGAGAGAG